ACACACACACACACACACACAACACAACAGACAGACAAACATACAGACACACATACAAACATACACTAGAATAGACACACACACACACACACACACACACACACAACACTACACAACAGACAGACAGACAGACAAACACAATACAAGTCTTTCACAGTATTTCCTAATAAAGTGTTCTTGTAGGAAAAATCATATTTCTTTTATTTTGGCTGGAATAAAAACAAAAAAAATCTACATTATTAGTCCTGTAAGATATGTTTCCCATTGGCTGCAGTTTTCTACCGATATCTGTTTAACAGAGAGCAGATTTCTTCAACACATTTCTAATCATAATAGTGTTAATAACTCATCTCTAATAACTGATTTATTTTATCTTTGCCATGATGGCAGTAAATAATATTAGACTAGATCCTTTTCCAGACACTTCTATACAGCTTAAAGTGACATTTAAAGGCTTCACTAGGTTAATTAGGCAAGTTGTTGTATAATAATAGTTTGTTCTGTAGACTATCAAGAAAATAAAGCTTAAATGGGCTAATAATATTGTCCGTAAAATGGTGTTTAAAAAATTAAAAACTGCTTTTATTCTAGCCTAAATAAAACAAATAAGACTTTCTCCAGAAGAAAAAATATTATCAGACACACTGTGAACATTTCCTGAATCTGTTAAACATCACTTAGGAAATAAAAAATAAAAAAAAAATCAAAGGAGGACTTCACTACTCAAAGAAATAAAGGGACCACTTAAACAACATTGTAACTCCAAGTGTTCCCTTTATTTTTTGAGCAGTATAGTTATATATTGTTACTTAATCTAAATATTTGTAATGACAGTACTGACCAGAATAATTGTGATTTTGTTTTTCTATAACCCATAAGCTTTTCAATGTAAGCAGTGCATCAGTCTTGTTCCTCTCTCAGCTCTTACTGTCAGTCTGATGTGTTTCTTTGGCAACCGTCGACCCTGCAGTGGATTGTGTGCTGATATTGTCAGGCACTGGCTCAAACCCTAGTTGCGATGACTCATAAACCTTTATGGCCAATCAGTCTTTATCATTTTCATTTTGCGTTGCCTGAGGTTAAAATGCAGCAATTTCTGTGCCTGGCAACATCATCAGTGCTGCATTTTGACACCACAAAACAGTGTGAAACCTTCCATCTCGTTGCTCTGTGGGTAAATTTATCTTGAATTAATCTTTTGAATCTGCAGCATGACCCGTGACCTACTCTGGAGCCCAGTTTGGTTTTTTATATGTTGCAAATATGAAATGAAATGAACAGAATATCGAGCATCACTTTTACTCAGCCATCTCAATGTTGTAGGTTAAAATAAGAGTTGTTTCACAGTTGAGTGCATTGGCATTGCTGGCTCCACAATAAATCTGCATGATACTTGAAAAATATGTAATATATTTGTTGAGTATTATGATAGCGATAATACAGTACATTACTTCAGTACAATTTGTTATGTTTTTCAATAATTTATTTATTTAGTGACAATAAAATAAACAGGTAATATATGTAATATATATATATATATATATATATATATATATATATATATATATATATATATATATATATATATATATTCCGGTCTAATTAATTCTAATACAGACAAAAAAAGGTTGAGGTGCACACATTTACTCTTTAATAACAATAATAATGGTAATAATAATGGTAATAATAATAATAATAATAATTCCTTTCATTTATATAACACTTTTCTGGACACTCAAAGCACTTTGCACATTTTTGGAGGGAATCTCCTCATCCACCACCAGTGTGCGCCATCCACCTGGATGACATGACGGCAGCCATATTGCGCCAGACCGCACACCACACACCAGCTGATTGGTGGAGAGGAGACAGAGTAATGATGCCAGCTATGATATGGGGATGGTTAGCAGGCCATTGGGCAAATTTGGCCAGGATGCTGGGGTTAAACCCCCACTCTTTTTCAAAGGACATCCTGGGATTTTTAATGACCACAGAAAGTCGGGACCTCGGTTTAACGTCTTATGCGAAAGACGGTGCTCACTGAGCAGTATAGAGTCCCCGTCACTATACTGGGGCATTAGGACCCACAAAGACGACAGGTTGGGCACCCCCTGCTGGCCTAGCTTTCCCATGTGGTCTCCCATCCAGTACTGACCGTTCTTCAGTGGGTGACCATGTGAGAGTTGTAGAGAGCTAGCTGCCGGATAGCTTTAAAACACTATGAATGAGTGAAAATCTCATGCAGATGATCTAAGTCTGATTGGCTGTTGTCATTTTCGTTTTACATCTCCACTCCACCCATTAGTGTTTAACTTTAAACTCTGGGTTTCCCTTAATGTTGCTCCAGCCAATAGTGGAATGGCATTTACTGAGGAGGCGGGGCTAAAGATAGCAAGTTGCCATTTGATTTTTCACACGTCTATGATATTGCTTATACTATTATTGCGATAACAATAATTTTGTTATATTTTGTGCAGCACTACTCCACAAGTAATTTCTCATAAGGATTTAAATTAAACGTCATGGTTAAAGCATTGTAAGCCATGAAGCTTTTATATAGTGCTGCTGTGTAACTAATTATGAAGTGATTTGACTGGGATATTACAGAGCTGAAGGTGTATTCTGGCAGTGAAAGCCCAGACAGCAGCTGAAATCTCTCAGTGGTTCTTCAGCAAGCCTCCGCCCTTCCTCAGTGTAAATGAAGATCAGCTGCTTCAGTCCAACATCTACATTAGCAGGAGGATGAAGATGAAGCCAGGGTGGACATTTCAGCAAGACAATGATCCAAAACACAGCCAAGGAGACTCTCAGATGCTTTCAGAGAAAGAAAATTAAGCTGTGGAATGGCCCACCCAATCCCCTGACCCGAATCAAACTGAGAATACAGAATAAAGCTCAGATTTGATAGATGAGACCCACAGAAGCATCAAGATTTAGACACTCTGTTGAAGTCTGTGAGAAACTCACACCTGAGCAGCGCATGAGGCTTCATTCTCTCTTCATTAAAGAGGCGTCTTTAACGTAACAGCATAAAAAAAAAACTTTTACAAAAAAGTATTTAGCAGGAGTGCTTTCTCCTGTTATTTTATTAAACACAACACATTTTTCAGATTTGTTTTGCTGCAATTTTATGTCTGTATTGTTTGGGTTTTTACCAAAATCTGCTTCAGTTCCATGTCAACAGCTCCTTTAGAAATAAAAACATGCCTTGTCCAATATTTCCCCTGCTGTAAATGAGGCTATTCTTCCTGTCTTCAGCTTGTAGTGTATATTCCCTCTTTCCCTCACCTTGTCACTCCATCTGTCCATCTGTGTGCTCCTCGACTCGTACTGCGGCTCCTCTATTAAATCTATTATTCTCTTCTCTCTGTCTATGAGGGCTGTAATTGAAAGTGTCCACCCACAGCTCTGCACCCCCCCCCCCCCCCCCCACACACACACATGCATTCCACCATACAATGAGATCCTATATAATGTGGCTTAATGGAGGCTTTACTGCGGTCATTATTAGCCAAGATACCTCACTTAAGGATTCACCGCTGTCTACTAGAATGCAGATGCTCTTTGTGTTTCTGCCAGAACAGGGAACTGAGCCTGAATGAGTCAGTCTGAGTACAGATATGTTGGGTTAGCGTGGACAGAAATGGCCGGCTGTGTCTTATTTTGTGCTTATGAACTCTATTAGATTGTGTTGTTTTCATGGGTCTGTGTGTGTGTGTGTGTGTGTGTGTGTGTGTGTGTGTGTGTATGAATGTCATTTGTGTTCCCGTATGGAGAGGTTGATCACAATGGGATCAGTGTGTTGCCATGGTTTCCTGTTGGCCACCTTTCTAAAAGTGTGTGTTTGTGTGTGTGTGTGTGGTCCAGGAATTTGTCATGTCGTGGGGACCAAATGTCCCAATTAGTATAGCAGTACCATTAACTTTTAAAGCTGTGGACATTTGTTTTATACATATAGTTGTGTATGTTTCTGCGAGTGTTTGTGTGTGTGTGTGTGTGTGTGTGTGTGCATGTATGTGCATGTGTGTGGTTGTATAAATGTGTGGGTTTGTGTGTGTATGTGTTTGAATGTGTGCGCGTGAGTGTGTGTGTGTGTGTGTGTGTGCATGTATGTGCATGTGTGTGGTTGTATAAATGTGTGGGTTTGTGTGTGTATGTGTTTGAATGTGTGCGCGTGTGTGTGTGTGTGTGTGTGTGTGTGTGTGTGTGTGTGTGTGTGTGTGTGTGCGTGTGCATGTATGTGCATGTGTGTGGTTGTATAAATGTGTGGGTTTGTGTGTGTATGTGTTTGAATGTGTGCGCGTGAGTGTGTGTGTGTGTGTGTGCATGTATGTGCATGTGTGTGGTTGTATATATGTGTGGGTTTGTGTGTGTATGTGTTTAAATGTGTGCGCGTGATTGTGTGTGTGTGTGTGTGTGTGCTTGGGGGGGTATGTCTGCGAGTATATGTGTGTATGTGTGCTCTGTTAATTGTATATGTGTATTTGTGTTTATGTGTATGTGTGTGTTTGTGTGTTTGTATGTATATATAAATGTATGTGTGTGTGTGTGTGTGTGTGTGTGTGTGAATAGACTGTGGTTTGGCATTTGTTTCTGTTTAGGATATAATGACATGCAGCTTCTGTCTCTTCTGTTTCATTAGCATAGGAGATTAGTCCTGTTTTCAATCTGCCACTATGCTGACACAAAGGCATTTGTAGCTCCGCCCTCTTTTGAAAAGAGCACAAACTCATTTGCATTTAAAGCGACAGTCACAAAAAAACGCCATAATCTGGATCAAAGCCTAAAGGGGTCAATTTTAGAGAGTTAGAAAACATTATTTGTGGGTTCTATATTTGGCTGAAACTTAAACACTTGTACATGCCAATTATTTCATGAACACTCTACTATACCGCTTTCAGACTAGGTCATTTTAAAATCTGCTGTACAAGTGCTCATTCAATGCACTTCTATTTTACTGTAGAAGAATGTTATATTTTGTTCCTCTCTTGCTGTATCAGAAGAAAACAGCAATACCTCTGGAGACGAGAAAGAGAGAAGTGCACTAGAAAGTGAACACGGAGCAACGAGATGGATCCGTTACCTGTGGATTCAGGAACAGTGGATGAGTTGGTGGACATCTGTGTACAGTCCTTTGGTGAGTCTATAAATTAACTTTCATTCAATCATTCATTCATTTTCCTTATTTATCTGGGGTTGCCACAGAGGAATGAACCGCCAACTCATTCATTCATTCTTTTATTTTATTTTCGGTTTAGTCCCTTTTTTAATCTGGGGTTGCCACAGCAGAATCAACCGCCAATTTACCCAGCACATGTTTTACGCAGCGAATGCCCTTCCAGCTGCAACCCATCACTGGGAAACACCCATACACACTCTATCACACACATACACTATTGACTATTTAGCTTACCCAATTCATCTATAGCGCATGTGTTTGGACATGTGGGGGAAACCGGAACACCTGGAGAAAACCCACGCCAACGCAGAGAGAACATGCAAACTCCACACAGAAATGCCATCTGACCCAGCCGGGACTCGAACCAGCGACCTTCTTGCTGTGAGGCGATTGTGCTACCCACTGCACCACCTTGTCTCCCGGAACCGCCAAGTATTCCAGCATATGTTTTGCACATAGGATGCCCTTCCAGCTGCAACCCAATACTGGGATACACCCATACACTCTTACATTCAAACACACTCATACACTACGGCCAATTTGGTTCACCCAATTCCCCAATAGCGCATGTGTTTGGACTGTGGGAGAAACTGGAGTATGTGAAGGAAACCCTCGGCAACACAGGGAGAACATGCAAACTCCACACAGAAACGCCAACTGACCCAGCTGGGACTCGAACCTGTGACTTTCTTGCCGTGCCGCCTATTATAAATACATTTAAATCAAAGTAGTTTAAAGGGATTAGGTAGAACGTTAACTGAAGTACTTTACTATAGCGTGGATCAAAACAGTATTGACTATAAGTTCATTCATTCGTTTTCTTTTCGGCTTAGTCCCTTTATTAATCAGTCGCCACAGCGGAATGAACCGCCAACTTATCCAGTATATGTTTTGCGCAGCGGATGCCCTTCCAGCTGCAACCCAACACTGGGAAAATTCACTATAAATTATTAAAGTAGTTTTTCGTGTGGGAAACAATCTGTGATGTTGATTTGTGCTTTCAGATGATGCCGGCGCAGTCAAAGACCCTTCATTTGTTCGAATGTTCCTCATGATGCATCCGTGGTATATATCGTCCACCGATCTGTCCAAGAAGCTGCTGCTTAAGTATCCTTTATCTACTAATTTACACTGTGTCTAGTTAACTCTGGATGCAGTTCAGCGAAACACATGGTAAGTTCAATCTCAGCTGTATTTACAGTGCAAGTCTTAAAGCGACATTTCCCCTTAAAATGAGTAATTCCTCATCATTTGCTCACACTCAGCTCTGAATGCTCTCCTGGAGGATTGGACTAGGGTTTTGAACATTTTTCATATTTTATTGCTGGGTGAGATGTTCTTCTGGTTTGCTGGTGTGAAATGAAAGGGATCATATTATGCTTTGTTTAGTTGTATCTGGCTTGAGTGTGGAACTGTGCTGTTTGCGCATGAAAGATCTGTAGAGTTATTCTCGATATCAGTAACACTGTCTCTGAATGAGCTCAGAAACCTGAGTCACAAACATCACAACATCCCATAATATATATATCAGTTAAAGGATTTAGACATCAAGAATGAATGAAAGAAAATAAAGGATTTTTTCTGGGAGGGTTGAGCTTAGGGTTTTTTGACATGCTTGCTTTTGTGTGTGTGTGTGTGTGTGTGTGTGTGTGTGTGTGTGTGTGTGTGTGTGTGTGTGTGTGTGTGTGTGTGTGTGTGTGTGTGTGTGTGTGTGTGTGTGTGAGAGTACATGTGTGTGGAGATGCATGCTTGCATGAGTGTGCATGTGCATGCTTGCGTGTGTTTGTGTGTGTGCGCATGCTTGCGTATGTGTGTGTGTGTGTCTGCATGCAGGCTTGCGTGTGTGTGTATGTAAACATGCAGCATGTATGTGCGTGCGTGCATGCTTGCGTGTGTGTGTGTGTGTGATTGTGTGTAAGCGTGTGTGAGGGCATGTGTGTGTGTGTGTGTGCGAGGGCATGCTTGCTTGTGTGTGTGGTCTGTGTGTGTGTGTGTCTGTGTGTGTGCGTGCTAGAGCATGCTTGTGTGTGTCTGTGTGTGTGTGTGTGTATGTGTGTATACTTGCATGTGTTTACACTTGCATGCTTGCGCGTGTGTGCGCATATACATGCTTGCGTGTGTGTGTGTCTGTGTGTTAGAGCATGCATGTGTGTGAGCTTTCATGCTTGTGCTTGTGTATGTGGATGTGTATGCTTGTGTGTGTTGTGCGTGTGTGCGTATGTGTGTGCACGTGAGCATGGATGTGTGTGTGTTTGGTCTGTCTCTGTGTATGTGTGCAAGCATGCATGCTTGTGTGTGTGTTTATGCATGTGTATGCTTGCGTGTGTGTGTGTTTGTGTGCATGCATGCATGCTTGCTTGTATGTGTGTGTGTGTGTGTGTGTGTGTGTGTGTGTGTGCGTGCATACTTGCATGTGTATGTGATCCGTGTCTGTGTGTGCATGCATGCTTGTATGTATGCATGTGTGTGTGTGTGTGTAAGTGTATCTTTGTGTGCGTTACTGTATGAATAGAACTTCTGTTCAGCACAAAACAAGATGCTCTGGAGAGCCATTGACTTTTAGTTTTAGCCTTTTTGTTTTTACTATGGATGTCAGCGGCGGCTTTTCCCCATCATTCTTCAGAGTATCTTATTTTGTGTTCACCTCATAGAAGTGTAGATCCTCCTGAGTGTAAATGGTGTAGTAGTGACTGCAGTAGTCAACTGAAAACTGCGCACCCTTAACAAACACACAGGTCACAGGAGGGCAGCGATGATGAGCTCAGAGCCAAAATATGCCACCTCGTCAAGTAAGACTATTACCTATTATTCCCATCATCCGCTGTACGCCGCTGTCTCTCTTCACTGCATTTCCCTCCTTGTGTTCTTCAGGTTCTGGATTTCGGAGTTTCCAGCAGAGTTTGATCTGAATCCTGCGTTGGCTGATCAGATTAAAGACCTGAGGGACAATCTGAACACCGGAGGCAATGAAACACCGAGCCAACTCATTGATGTGGAGAGTGTGTACGTTTACAGACACACACACAAACACACAAGTCCAGGGGTCCGTTCTTCGTACGTGGATTTCTCAGTTAGCTGGATTTGGATATTGACGATTTGACACGATCCAGGATCGTTTAGTTCTTCAAAGCTGATCCGAGAGTTGTTGTCATGGCAACAGTTCTGCTAGGTCAAACCTGATCGGGAGCAGGTTCAATTCATATAAACAGGATTAGATCGGCTCAGTTCAAGCAAAGATAATACAGAAAGTATGTTCCCAATTCTGATATTTTCTTACAGTAGTCGTTATATACACTTGGGAAAATGGTACATATTTTTTAACTATATAAAGTTATGGTCATTAATAAAATAAATAAAGTTATACATATTAATAAAACTTATGCAATCTGCACCCTCGAAATGAAAGTACAAAGACTGCCACCTGGTGGTGCAAAGAGAAAACTTGTTGATATGAACTTTTTAGATCGCTTTAGTACAAATTGTGTATAATAGAAATGCACAATATGTGACTTTTTTAAAGCAATAATACATTTCAGCAGTCATAAACATGTTTTGATAGTTAATATGTCAGTGATTTGATGCTTCACAAAAGTTGCAGACGCCTTTACCAATATCAAAATGCTTTTGTAAACAACCAGTTATTCTTTATACCGATTAAAAAACGGCTACTATAATAAAGAAAATCTTTTCTAAATGTAGAACTAAATACACTGATTTGCATTGAAATACATGATGAATACTCTTGACACATGAAAGAGTAAAGCCTGCAGCTCATAACAAATGTGGAAGGTTATTGCGTGTCATATTTAACAAACCGTTTACTGCTAATATGATGTAATTTTGCTCACATGGATAATTGAATATTAATCAGATGATGTCATTACGCAGCTGTGCCGTCAGCCAATCGCTGCATTGCTGATCATGATCTCGAGGATTGATAGATCTGTCCTTCACAACACACACAGCGATCTCAGATCAGCTCATCCGGACATTCTAATCTGATTCGCGAACTTGTTTGAAGAACCAAATTAGCGAGAGATCAGTTATCAAGATGAACAGATCCAGGATCTGCCAAATCATCTTAGATCATTTAAGCGAGGTACGAAGAACGGATCCTAGGTTCATTTGTTTATAAAGCACATTTAAAAACAGCCACAAGACTGACCAAAGTGTTGTACATAACACAAGACAAAATATAAGGTCACTTATAAAAACATGGAGGTAAGAGGGACAACAGAAGACATTTTAAAGGGCACCTCTGGTGAAAAATCTACTTTTCAAGCTGTTTGGTGTGTAGGTATAGTGTATAGAGCGTCAAATTGGGGTGATATACGTGATGTTTTGTAAACACATTTCGGGAGGAGCGTGCACAGAAGTTTCAGTATCGAATAGGTCATTGACAATTATCCCATCATCAAATCAGTTCTTGAACACACCCCTATATATACCAAAGCTGTCTTACCTGCAGCATCTCACGACTTCAGCACCCTCCACCACCCCGTCACCTCACCTCTTGCATTGCAGTCCCGGGGGGAGCGTTCTGGGGCCGGGCTAGATACTTCGCTCGAATCCCAACTCATCTTTGTTTTCTGATAAGGGGAGTAACTCGAGTTGGGGTGTCTCCTCGAGCTCAGAGCCCTCCCCCCGGACAGCACGCCAAATATGCTTTATACTTAAACGAATGCAAGTGCGAACTCGTGAAACACACACACAGTCCTTTTTTTTCCAATTTAACAACTTGAAAACGGTGGACCATTTTGAGCGGTTTTTAGGTCGACTGCAACTTGACGTAGGAGTGCGATTCCCTCCGCCCACCAATATTGATTGACAGCTGCGCACATTACCACATTTTCAGTTTGTTGTTTCACGTCCGCCATTTTCAGCGTGTGAAAAAAAACATTACAAACAGTACAAATGCCTATTTTACAACAAACATATTGCGTGAACACTTACGCTGTCTGTTGGTGCTCTAGATTTGCCCATTTCAAACCGATTAATTCATATTTTTGGAGCAAACATGCATTCACAATGGTATGAACCATTTTAGGGGTGGTCAAATGTATATTTGAGTTATCCATTATTTTTATTATTTTAATTGTGTGTGTGTGTGTGTGTGTGTCTGCGCCATGTGTGTGTGTTTCTGTGCTGTGTGTTTGTGCTGTGTGTGTGTGTTCTCGCTGTGTGTGCGTGAACTTTGTAAAGACATTGTGTGTGACTCATTGTTGCAACTCCACAAAAAATGCACCAAATACTGCTTGGTAAAGTTCTTACTGTAGTATTTCTCACAAACGTTAGTGAGATCTGCTTCCTGAGGCAGCCGAGGGCGGCGAGTGAGGCATGCTGCTGACAGACACATGGGAACGGTGGGCGGGGAGGACTCGCCTTAAAGGCGCAGTGCAAAAAAACAGCAACAACCTTTTCCCAGCTGTAATACAGACACTTCAAACATTCATTCATTCATTTTCTTGTCGGCTTAGTCCCTTTATTAATCCGGGGTTGCCACAGTGGAATGAACCGCCAACTTATCTAGCAAGTTTTTATGCAGCCCTTCCAGCCGAAACCCATCCCTGGGAAACATCCACACACACATTCACACACACACTCATACACTACGGACAATTTAGTCTACCCCAGTGGTTCTCAAACTAGTGGTACGCAGAGGAATCCATTATGTCTTATGTACTTGTGACATTTTTTTTTTAGAATTTATCAAAAATGGTTCATATATGAAAATGATGACATATAGCCTATGAGGTCCAAGCTACATTTCCGTTTTGATGAATAGGATACTATTGGTTAACACTGTACATTTAAGTAAAGCAGTTTTTTTTTTTTTTTTTTTTTTTTTACTTTTTAGAAACAGTAGCCTAGAATTTTTAATGAACTTATAAAAGCCCACTTTAAATTAATCAATAACATTTTATTTTGGTTTGTTTGTCTTTTTACAAATAAGCACAGTACAGTGTTAATGTTCAAACTATAATGTTTAAAGTGGCTGATAATGATACAAACTCTTAATAATAGTAGTTAATCTGCCACGTTTTTAAACTGTGCAGAGCTGTTGCTGTTTTACTGGGCCTGCTACGCTACGTATTTTTATACTGGTCATTATGGTGGTACTTGCAGAGAGATTTTTTTCTGAGGTGGTACTTGATAAAAAAAAAGTTTGAGAACCACTGGTCTACCCAATTCACCTGTACCGCATGTATTTGGACTGTGGGGGAAACCGTAGCACCCGGAGGAAACCCACGCGAAGGCATGGAGAACATGCAAACTCCACACAGAAACACCAACTGAGCCGAGGTTCGAACCAGCGACCCAGCGACCTTCTTGCTGTGAGGCGACAGCACTACCTACTGGGCCACTGCCTCGCCACTCTTCAAACACAGCTCTAATAAATACTCTGATGGGTGTTTTGAGCTGAAACTTTACAGACACATTCTGGGGTCACAAAACACTTATAATAAATATGAAAAAAGGGGTGACCTATGTGCCCTTTAAAGTTTTGTTATTGAACCAAAGTCAATCAAGAGCCTCTACCTTTGCAGCTTTCACATCTTATTTGTGCTTCCGCGCTTTGAAATCTTCTCAAATCAAATGGACTGAAATGAGTCATTGATGATAGTTTCTTTCTTCATATTTTTCCATGAATTACGCCCTGCTCTGGACTGTCATGTTCAGCATATTAGTCATCTGCCAGGAATAATAACCTCAGTCCTGTCTGAAATAACATATTGTTTTCCTGCTGCAGGCCCTCGTATAAATGGAAACGACAAGTCACCAAGAGAGTCCCATCCATGTCAAAAAGGAGGAAAATGTCTCTGTTGTTTGATCACCTGGACCCCTATGAGCTGGCCGAGCATCTGACCTACCTGGAGTACAAGTCCTTCTGCAAGATACTGGTGGGTTTGTTGCTACAACGTTCGTTTTTTTTGTTTGATTTTAGTCCTCTAAAAGCCCCAACAGTCAAAAAACATACATTTTCTCCATAGTGACACTGATTTTTATTGATTATACCTTTAAAGACAGACCTGTTGAGGTTGCTAATTGATTGTTAATCATTTCAAGAGGTCACACTTAGCTGATGATTGATTGTCAAGCATGTTTGGCATGCTGTCCCAAAGAGAGCTCCTTGAGCCCGGGGCTCCCTCCCGTTTGCAGGGTGAGAGGGGAGTTTGAGCTCAGGTTGGTCTCGAGAACTCCCCTGCACTCCCCAGACCGCACACCACACACCAGCTGATTGGTGGAGAGGAGACAGAGTGATGATATGCCAATCATGATATGGGGAGGGTTAGGAGGCCATGATGGACAGAGGCCAGTGGCAGATTTGGATGCTGGGGTTAAACCCCTACTCTCTTTCAAAGGACATCCTGGGATTTTTAACGACCACGTTGAGTCAGGACCTCGGTTTAACGTCTTATCCGAAAGACGGTGCTCACTGAGCAGTATAGAGTCCACGTCACTATACTGGGGCATTAGAACCCACACAGACCACAGGTTGAGCGCCCCCTCCAGGCCTCTCTAACACCACTTCCAGCAGCAACCTAGCTTTCCCATATGGTCTCCCATCCAGGTACTGACCGGGCGCAGCCCTGCTTAGCTTCAGTGGGCGACCATGTGAGAGTTGCAGAGAGCTGCCGGCCAATAATAGGAAGAATCACAGATAACTTTTGTCCAAATCACGTTTCACATCCAAAAACATGTCGTATTTCTTTTGTTATTAACTACATAACAAGAAAGAAGCCTTTAATGGAGTAGAAAATGTACATATTTGCTCACCTGGGTTTGAAGGGAGTTAGCAATCTCTCCTCAACTTTCTTTTTTTAACTTTAAAACGTCAAACCGACACGGGTGGGTCCAAATAAACGTGAAATGAGCGCTTTTAACTTCTCCCTCAACCTCCCGCTGGCCCTCAGGTACCCACACACAAGTGAATGCTGCTTGCTCATTGGTTGTAGGTGATCTCTGATGCTATTTTCAATCACAACTCATTTCACATGGAGCTGTGCAGCTGTCCAGCTGCGCTCTCATAGCGGGAAAATGAAAACAAAACCTTCACTGCAGCAAATTATAAAAAGTAACACTGACAACCCGTATCCCCAAACAATTCATGTTCTCCCGCTTGTCAACACAACATGGTGTCTCTCTGCTGTCTGAACACTGTGTCAGGTACAGTCTTTGCAAACACAAAAGAGCGCGCTGATTGGTTTGAACCAAGTCTTATGCTGTGCTCACACCAGACACGGAACGCGCGGATAAATCGCGCTATTCGTGCGTAAATAGCCGCGTGAACATTTGAGTTTACTCGCTTTATTTGCGCGTAAAATACGCTTTATTCGTGTGTTAAATTCACTTCAGATCAGATGCGGATTCGCGTGATGGGCAGGGCTTCTGTCGGCCCAGTGACTCTAGCTTCATAGCTAAATGGCTCACATGGATTTTATGAAGAAATAACTGTGTTTATGTGCTTTTATGAAGACTGAAAAACAGCGTTGATACGTTTAGGGCCGTGTCTGAGTCCACTACATCCTTTCAGAGGTGTATCCAGCTCATAAACTCCTCCAGAAACTGAACCTGGCTTATGGAGGCTTTCAGCGGTGCTTCTGACTGAGCCAAGCCCAGTTTGATGACTTGTTGTTGGTGAAAACCTCCTGATTGGTTACCGCGGCGTGAATGTCCGCTGAGGTTCAGATTTACGAACTCGAGTGATCTGCGCGAAACGCGTGTTAAGCGTGTCAAACGCGCAAAACGCTCAATTCGCTGCGCGCCATTCGCACTTATCGCGCCATTCGCGTAATTCACATCATTTGCACCGCCCCATTCGCGCATATTGCACCACAGGATGTCTATTCGCGCGTTTGCATTGACTTAAATCACTCGCGCTTGACGAGCGTTCCGCGTCTGGTGTGAACGCAGCATAACTCATGAATGAATGCAGCACAGTCAGAGACGTAATGAGGCACTCCCAGGTACAGACGTCCAGTCTACACACTGGAACACACGCTATTATCTCATGGCCGTGACGCAGCTTCAAAAATTCCTTTCAAACCGGAAGAACGAATTTGCTCGAAATAACGCAAAAACAACCAATTTTGTGTCAATATATGTGTCCTAATAGTGTTTATAGCAGTGTGGGACACATATACGACTGTCAACAGCTCAAAACATGTGTTCTGGTGTTTTGTGGCCCTTTAAGCAGCGGATGCCCTTCCAGCTGCAACCCATCACTGAGAAAAAAAGTGTTGCCATCGTTATTATAATTGCACTTTGTGTTTTCTGTGTGTTTCAGTTTCAGGATTACCACAGTTTTGTGATGCACGGCTGTACGGTGGATAACCCCATTCTGGAGAGGTTCATTACGCTCTTCAACAGCGTCTCGCAGTGGATTCAGCTGATGGTTCTGAGTAAACCCACCGCACCGCAGAGAGCCGCCGTGATCGCTCACTTCATACAGGTTGCAGAGGTCAGCAGTACTACTGATATGTACAGGTTTTTCCCCCTGATTGCAATTGTGCATAAGCTTTTTACGCCCCATTCACACGGGGTTTCATCGTTAACGCTTGACTGAAGGCGTGTCTGAAGTCGGGGCTGAAGCGATCGTCATAGCAGCGTCAGCCAATGAAATTCAGTCAGCATAAGCCACTGTCTAGCTGGTGTATTTGCATACAGCGATCTGATTGGCTGATGCATCAGTGCTTTAAAAGTTGAGCTAGTCCCAACTTCTGCAGCGAGCAACGCCTCTGAAGCGGCGCCAACGGATCCACAATGCAGTTCAGCAATGCCTGACATCACCCATTCAAAGTAAATGGGAAGCGTTGAAGCTGACGCCCTGTGTGAATGTGGCGTAGTGCTTGACCTATACATTATACATGTGCATGAAGGTACAATCTGTAGAGCTGGGAATTAACACCACTTAAACAGAACAGTTCTGTTCATTACTGTAGCTACAAAACATGTGAACGGGAACATTTCAGGCATTTTCAGGCAGTGGGTAGCACGATCGCCTCACAGCAAGAAGGATGATTCTCATTTCAGAATTGGGTGTACATTTCAGGCATACAGACACCTGAAGGAAAAAGGTGAAGGCCAAGACCTATAAAGCAAGAGTTTGCAATGTTGTAGACCTTTAGTTTGACGACAGCAAGTCGCATGTGACTTTCTTTCTCTTTGAATTTTTCAGCAGCGCAGCGGGGTCCGTCGCCCCCTGCTCCCGCTCCTCCTCATGATCCCTTGTTCTCTTCCTTCTTACGGGCCCTGAGCTCTTCCTCTTCCAAAATATCACTTCCTGCGCTTTATGTCTCTACTGTTCTACCACAATGTTTCCTGCTCAGTCCCTTTCCATATCTACCCTTGTGAGAAATAACCTTATGTTACTGTTACTACAGTACTATACAGTTGAAGTCAGAATTATTAGCCCTACTGTATATTTTATCCATAATTTCTGTTAAACATGTTTCTAATCATAATAGTTTTAATAACTCATTTTTAATAACTGATTTATTTTATCTTTACCGTGATGACAGCACATAATATTAGACTGGAAATTCTTCAAGACACTAGTATTCAGCTTAAAGTGACATTTAATGGCTTAACTAGGGTAATTAGGGTAAAGTTAGAGTAACTAGGCAAGTCATTGTATAACAGTGGTTTGTTCTGGAGACAATCCAAAACAAATATTGTTTAAGGGGACGAATAATATTGATCTTAAAATGGCTTTAAAAAAATTAAAAACTGCTTTATTCTAGCCGAAATAAAACAAATAAGACTTTTTCCAGAAGAAAAAATATTATCAGACATACTGTGAAAAATTCCTGAATCTGTTCAACATCATTTGGGAAACATTTGAGGAAGTAAAAAAAATATTGATTTTCACTTCAACTGTATATAAACACAATGTACTTAACCCAATGTTCTTACATAAGAGGAGGAGAAGGGGTGGAAGGGGGGATTCTTCAAGATGACTAAAGGTAAGATGCTTGGTTATTTATACTGGGTTAGGAATTGTTCGTACATTAGCTTGACTCGGGGCCAGCTGTGTCAATCATGAGCACGTGATCCTCTCGAAATTAGTTTATGAATAAACTTCACTAAGAACGACTACATGAAAAAACCTCACGAGTGGTGTTGTTGAGCGAGGCAGTGGTGCAGTAGGTAGTGCTGTCGCCTCACAGCAAGAAGGTCGCTGGGTCGAACCTCGGTTCAGTTGGCGTTTCTGTGTAGAGTTTGCATGTTCTCCCTGCCTTCGCGTGGGTTTCCTCCGGGTGCTCCGGTTTCCCCCACAGTCCAAAGACATATGGTGCAGGTGAATTGGGTAGGCTAAATTTTCCTTAGTGTGTGTGTGAATGTGTGTGTGGATGTTTCCCAGAGATGGGTTGCGGCTGGAAGGGCATCCGTTGCGTAAAAACTTGCTGGATAAGTTGGCGGTTCATTCCGCTGTGGCGACCCCGGATTAATAAAGGGACTAAGCCGACAAGAAAATGAATGAATGAGTGGTGTTGTTTTAGATGGTTTTAAATAACCAGCTTGATCTACCTTTAGTCATCTTGAAGAATCCCCCTTCCACCCCTCTCCTCCTCTTTTCTCTATAGGGCGGCACGGCGGCCCAGTGGCTAGCACTGTGGCCTCGCAGCAAGAATGCCTCCGTCTCGGGTCTTTACCCAGCCGGACAGCATTTCCGTGTGGAGTTCATGTTCTCCCCGTGCTTGCGTGGGTTTAAGTAAAGACTTAAGAGACTTAAGTAAATTAATCCAACAACAGACGTCATATATTGAGTGTATTTGCTACTATAATTCTGTTTTCCCTGTAGAAACTCCTACAGTTGCAGAACTTCAACACACTGATGGCGGTGGTCGGAGGACTCAGCAACAGCTCCATCTCCAGGCTGAAGGAGACACAGGCCAACATCAGCAGCGACACCAATAAGGTTTGAGTAAAATTAGCAGAATTATTCAAATGAAGTTCAGCCAAGTCAGTTTAACAGCTCCAGGCTAGAATGGGTTTACTTTTTCACATTTCTCCGTCAGGTGTTTAACAGTCTGCTGGACATGCTGACCTCTTCTGGAAACTACAGTCAGTACCGGCGCAGGTTCGCTGAATGCACTGGCTTTCGTTTCCCAATCCTGGCCGTCAGCCTGAAGGACCTGATAGCGGTTCATGTTGCGCTGTCGGACTGGACAGACGCGCAGAAGACTCAAGTCAACCTGACCAAAACACAGCAACTCTACGCCATCCTGCAGGAATTATCCCTCGTGCAGAGCAATCCTCCACACATTGAGGCCAACACAGACCTGCTCAATCTGCTCACTGTGAGTGTGTCTGTGTGTGGCCCTGCTGAAAAATCCAGCTGAAAACAGCCTAGGCTGGTTGGCTGGTTTTAGCTGGTCGACCAGGCTGGTTTTACAGGGGTTTTGGCCATTTCCAGGCTGGTTTCCAGCCATTTCCATTCTTAGCTGGTCAGGCTGGAAAATGAAGAGCCAAATCCAGCCAAAACCAGCTTGACCAGCCTGGTTTAAGCTGGATATGGCTGGTTTTGGCTGGACTCCCAGCTTGGCTAGGCTGGTCAAGCTGGTTTTAGCTGGTCATCTCCCAGCTTGACCAGATTAGACAGGCTGGTCGACCAGCTAAAACCAGCCAACCAGCCTGGATTTTTCAGCAGGGGTGTATGTGTGTGTGTGTTTGTGTGTGTGTGTCTCTGCGTTTTAGGGTGAAAAGGGTGCATGAGAAGGGTGCGTGACTTATTTTAAGGGACCGGGAGGGAAACAAGCAATTTTCGGGAGACTTGGGATATCTGGATATCCAGCGATCCAGCGGTACAACCTCGATAAAGATGTGCACTATTTGCACGATTTGCTATTTACATGACGTAAACTAAGTCTGTAAGTGGAAAAACTGAGCATTTCTCTAGCAAGAAAACAGTTAAACAGAGCATCGCCAGAATGAGAGATAAAGTATCATCATTATCTACTTTCACTTTCGCTCTCATGGATAGGGAAACCTCTTGTATGCACAGACATCCATTAGCCTATAAATAATTAATTTTGTTTGTTAAGTGCAAAGATTTGTTTCAAAGCTATTTCTAAATCTTTAATTTCCAGCAAACGAATAATTGAACAATAATAATGAAGTGTGCTCAAAGACCTGAGTTATATCCTAATACACATGCTGTGCCCCATATGGTGTAATACCTGCGGGTGGACAAATCTAAGCTTGTTTTTAATAAAACAAATATAAATATGGATATAATAAATAATACTGCTAATAATAATAACATTATACAAAAGCAAATTGAATGAACTGAAAAAGCCTCCCGAGATGAAGAAGACATGAAGGCAGTGTTTTTTATATTTATGTAGGCTAGAAAATAATATGTTTTGTAATATTTTAATCCTTTATATTTATATCCTACATATATCCTTATTATATCCTATATATATCCTTAATATTTTAATTCTTTTTTCATATGTAAAGATATTTGCGTATTGCTCTACATCTTGTGTGTATTGAGCAGTGTGTAAGTGAGGCGCACAACTAACGCGCTCTGCGCTGGACAATAGACCGGCTTTGTTTTGGTCTGTTGAAAAATCTATTACAGTTTCTCAAAATAGCAACACGCCAGCAATGCGCCTCAACACACCTCCTTTTTTAGAGCAGAACGCCTATGGGCACACATATAAGCGCAAATGCATTTGCTATTTAAACAGTGTGGCGGAAAACGTCAAAACGACTCTTGCGCCAAGCTGAAACTAGCAAACAACAATTGCCTCGCGGCTTGCGCCACATTGCGCCAGGTGTATGATAGGGCCCTAAGACGTATTAGTGTAAACGGGGCCTGAGTGTGTATTTTTTATGAGCGGGTATGCGACAGGGGTGGGGCAGGCTGGAGCATCGGCGATGCTGGCTCAGCATTGTTGTTGTCTATTGGCCATCGGCGATGGATGATGGCATCGTTTATCCACCCAACCCTAATTGGTTTGACTGCTGGACAATGATTAATTGTGATTGATCACATTTAGATTCAAATTACTTCCATGTAATTTTTACTTTAAATATTTTGACAAGATTTCCAGGAATAATAAGATGACAACTAATTTTTTAAGTCTAGTGGAATCAGCTTATGTAAACAGCAATAATCTTTTGGCTCTAATAGCTCACAGCCCACCTTTAGCACAAACGCATTAGAGAAAGAGTGTATTTGGGCAGTCAACTGTCTCAGTGTTCACACACAACTGTTGTTATGCTCTGTTGTTATATCCATACGCAACACAGACTTCGTTTCCAAAAACTTTTGCAAGAATTTGTTGCCATAGAAACAAGAACGGCTCTAAATAGAATCTTTGGAATGCGTACAGTAATCGCTGCATTCTGTTAATCTACCATGAGAATTCATATCTGATCAAAATCCAACCAGAAACTAAAGGGGCCAGAGAGACAACACATGCACACAGTAGGAAAGTGTTTCAAGAGTCTCTAAAGTTAGCATTAATTTTAGCCCATTTGACTTTATATTCTCAAGTTTTTGTAAGCAGTATCTTACATGATCCCCATATCTAGCCCAGGTTCATTTGACCCAGCCCACTTTTCCAAAAGAGGGCGGAGAGAAGAACCCCTAGGTGTCAGCATAGTGGTAAGTTTAAAAACAAGACTAACGTCTTATGCTAATGAGGGAGAGATGGTCACTAGTGGGCGGGGCTTTCCTCCTCTGATGACACGTACAAAGAGAGAATGTCAATCAAAGTGTCTCTGCAGACTGATTTCATCAAGTCTCATTATAAAGTATAAAATTAGTACCATTAGAGCACAGGTGTCAAACTCAGTTCCTGGAGGGCCGCAGCTCTGCACAGTTTAGTTCCAACCCTAATTAAACACACCTGATCAAACTTATTGAGTCCTTCAGGCTTGTTTGAAACCTACAGGCAAGTGTGTTGGAGCAGGGTTGGAACTAAACTGTGCAGGGCTTCGGCCCTCCAGGAATTGAGTTTGACACCCCTGCCCTAGAGGCTGAATATATTCACACACTGCGGCCACACAACAGAGTTTAAACCCCTTATAAACGTGATTTTTACGTATTTGGTGCTCTTTAATACAGGATAATTGTTACATAGAAATAAGAATCATTGATGTCTTTGTGAAACGTTATATTCATCATGCGTGCTCATTGAATGCTGTGACTGATTTCGGGTGTTGTTTTATATGTAGGTATCGCTGGATCAGTATCACACAGAAGAGGAGATTTATCAGCTCTCGTTACAGAGAGAACCCAGAGCTACAAAACCAGCGGTCAGTTTTACAGACACGACCATCAGAAAGTGCAGTGTATTCTGTGAAATATGACCCTGTACCATGAAACCAGTCATGAGTGTCAGCCTTTCCATTTAAATGCTGGAGCTATGCAAAAAATGAAGGTGCAAATATTGAAATATTGAGAAAATCAGTATAGAGCAGAATTTGTGCCAATATATAAAATGTGAACTCAAAATTGGATAGATAGATAGATAGATAGATAGATAGATAGATAGATAGATAGATAGATAGATAGATAGATAGATAGATAGATAGATAGATAGATAGATAGATAGATAGATAGATAGATAGATAGATAGATAGATAGATAGATAGATAGATAGATAGATAGATAGATAGATAGATAGATAGATGGATAGATAGATAGATAGATAGATAGATAGATAGATAGATAGATGGATGGATGGATGGATGGATGGATGGATAGATAGACAGAAATATATAGATGGATGGACGGATGGAAGGAAGGAAAGAAGGATAAATGGATGGATGGATGGATGGATGGATGGATGGATGGTTGGATCGGCGGGATGGATGGATGGATGGATGGATGGATGGTTGGATCGGCGGGATGGATGGATGGATGGATGGATAGACATAGAAATATATAGATGGATGGACGGATGGAAGGAAGGAAAGAAGGATAAATGGATGGATGGATGGATGGATCGGCGGGATGGATGGATGGATGGATGGATGGATGGATGGATCAGCGGGATGGATGGATGGATGGATGGATGGATAGACATAGAAATATATATATGGATGGACGGATGGAAGGAAGGAAGGAAAGAAGGATAAATGGATGGATGGATGGACGGACAGACGGACGGATGGATGAATAGATAGATAGATAGATAGATAGATAGATAGATAGATAGATAGATAGATAGATAGATAGATAGATAGATAGATAGATAGATAGATAGATAGATAGATAGATAGATAGATGGATGGATCGGCGGGATGGATGGATGGATGGATGGATAGACATAGAAATATATAGATGGATGGATGGATGGAAGGAAGGAAAGAAGGATAAATGGATGGATGGATGGATGGATCGGCGGGATGGATGGATGGATGGATGGATGGATGGATGGATGGATAGACATAGAAATATATATATGGATGGACGGATGGAAGGAAGGAAGGAAAGAAGGATAAATGGATGGATGGATGGATGGATGGATGGATGGATGGATGGATGGATGGATGGATGGATGGACAGACGGACGGATGGATGAATAGATAGATAGATAGATAGATAGATGGATGGATGGATGGACGGACGGACGGACGGACAGACAGACAGACAGACAGACAGACAGACAGACAGACAGACAGACAGACAGACAGACAGACAGACAGACAGACAGACAGACAGACAGACAGACAGACAGACAGATAGATAGATAGATAGATAGATAGATAGATAGATAGATAGATAGATAGATAGATAGATAGATAGATAGATAGATAGATAGATAGATAGATAGATAGATAGATAGATGGACAGATCGATTGACATTAATGCTTCTTTTTGTCAGCTGTACTTAGCGTTGGTTTCAGGAATTCCCATGGAGAGTAATGTAAATTGACCCATAGTGCCATCTGCTGTCATCATCATGACGGATGATGAAGATAAATCATGATCTTTACTTAATATAATAATAAGGATGTTGATTAATAAGGATATAGCAGTGCAATATAACACTGTTTTGTGGTCCAGGGTCACAATAGTATAAAAAACCCATATAATATACTGTATAAACTCCCATTTAAATGAAAACTACATAATAATGCCTCATAATAATGCCTCATAATAGTGCCTCTGATTTATGTTTTTTATTTATTGATCCATTTTTTGGCTCAGAACTCAAGCTCTACCTCCAGCCCAGCTCCTAAAAAACTTTCAATAATAGATGACTGGGCAGCGTCGGTCAAACCCAAAGCTGATCCTGCAATCATCAGCAAACACATCGAGAAGATGGTGGATGTAAGAGAAAACTAATCCTCATCAATACTGTATACTGCATTAATTTAATTATGTCCATTCACACACCCATGCCGCATGTATAAAGATCCATGCAGGTGAAACCCTGCTTTTACTGTGTTTTCACAGTCTGTGTTCAAGAATTTCGACACAAACGGTGACGGCTTCATCTCACGGGAAGAGTTTGAGTGCATCAGGAATAACTTTCCTTATTTAAGCAAGTTTGGAGAACTCGATACAAATCAGTAAGTGCCATCACACAGTTCAAGTCAGAATTATTGACTACAACACTTCACATGTTCTGTATCTCTGTTTATCAGGGATGGAAAGATCAGCAGGGAGGAGATGATAGATTATTTTATGAAGGCCAGTTCTTTGCTTAATTGCAAGATGGGCTTCATACACACCTTCATAGAGACCACATATGTGAAGCCCACCTTCTGCGATCACTGCACCGGCTTTGTAAGTAGCAGATGCTCATGCATTCATGAGGAAACGGATTCATAACTTGTTAGTGTTTTTAAAAATGAGCAGTTTCATTAGGCTATCTACTGGATGTTGTGTATTGTTTGTTGTACCCCAGTCCCTTCTATTGTGTGTGTGTGTGTGTGTGTGTGTGTGTGTGTGTGTAGCCTCTGATGCTGTGAGTTTGCTGTTTTGCTTTCATCCATTTCTGCGCTTTCGCTTTCATCTTTTGTTTTCCCGCTGTTTTCTCTCTCTTGATCTGAGCTCCTCCTCCTCCTCCTGTCTCTACTGTTGTCCACATCATGTCTGCATATCCCTTCTCCCTCCTTAATGATGTATGTCCTTCTTTTCTTTTAAGATATGGGGGTTTTATAAACAAGGATACAAATGCAAAGGTAAGAGGAGCTGTATATGCTTGTGTGTGTGTATACCTTGTATTCCTGACATTCTGGGGACCCAATAATGAATATACTAACTGCTTTTCGGGGGGGTGGGGTGGGGTTGTCATGGTGTACAACTTAAGTAATTAGAATTATTTGACAACGTCGTCACTGGTAATGCAAACGAACTGGAAACTTACTTTTGGTTTATTTGTGTTGATTTCAAGTGACGTGACAGGTGCAGGTGTCCACTGTAAATAACGTCACTTGCATTGGAAGTGTGGGTGCCCGAGAGTGCAAGCCTGAAGATGCAAGTGCAACCCTGCAGCCAGACTCTTCTTGTTTGGGCTCTATTTTGACGGTTCATGCGCAGAGCGCAAAACGCAGGGTGCAAACTCTTTCAGGGCGTGTCAGGACGCGTTTTTGCTAATTTAAGGACGGGAAACCTGCTTTGCGCCATGGCGCATGGTCTAAAAGGGTTGAGTTTATTTTCTTAATGAATTATAGGTGTGTTTTGAGAATAAACCAATCAGAGTCTCATCTCCCATTCCCTTTAAGAGCCAGCTGCGTCACGCCAAGAGCGCATTCACTATTTACAGGACGTAAAGTAAGTCTAAGTGGAAAAAAATGAGCATTTCACAAGCAAACAGTTCACAGTGTTTTAACAGAAAACAGTTAAACAGAGCATCTACTGCGCGAGAATGAGAGATAATGGATCACTTTCACTTTCGCTCTTGGATAGGGAAACCTTTACGCACAGACATCAATTAGTCTATAAATAAATACTCATATATAAATAAATATATAAATAAATACGCAAATATTCATTTCAAAACTATTTCTAAATTCAGTTCTTATTTCCAGCAAACGAATAAATGAACAATAATAATGAAGTGTGCTCAAAAACCTGAGTTATATCCTAAAACACCTGCCATGCCCCATATGATCTAAAACCTGACAGGTGGGCAAATCTAAGCTTGTTTTTAATAAAACAAATATGAATATGGATATAATAAATAATACTGCTAATAATGATAACATTATACAAAAGCAAATTGTTATGAATGAACTGAAAAAGCCTCCCGAGATGAAGAAGACATGAAAGCAGTGATTTTTCATATTTATGTAGGCTAGAAAATAATATGTTTTGTAATATTTTCATCCTTTATATTTATATTCTATACCTATTCTTATTATGTCCTATATATATCCTTAATATTTACATTTTTTCATATGTAAAGATATTTGCCTATTGCTCTCTTGTGTGTATTAAGCAGTGTGTAAGCGAGGAGCAACTCTGTGCTGGAGTTTAGACCGGGTTAGTTTTGGTCTAATGAAAAATCTAATATAGTTTCTCAAAATAGCAACGCGCCAGCGGTCCGCCTCGGAACGCCTCCCTGTTTAGAGCAGAACGCCTATGGGCGCACATATGAGCACTAATGCATTTGCTATTTAAACAGCGTAGCGCAACACCTCAAAACCACTCTTACGCCAAGCTGAAACTACCAAAAGACTACTGCGCCGCGCCTTGCGCCACACTGCGCCGGGTGAATGATAGGGCCCTTAATGTTCAAACTATTTATCATGGTTAAAGTGGCTGACAATAATAAATATTCATAATAATAGTAATTAATCTGCCTTGTTTTTGAACTGTGCAGAGCTTTAGCTGCCTATTTAGGCCTGCTGTGCTGATGTATTTCATTATTGGTCATTGTGGTGGTGCGTGGAATTTTTTTCTGAGGTGGTACTTGGTGAAATAAGTTTGAGAAGCACTGCTCTAGGAGGTTAGGTGAGTGAAAACTGAACAAAGTGTGAAAACAAATGAACGATAAAGCACTTCCTTCCATGCTTTATTTTTGTCTTTTCACATACTCGCAGTAGTTTTAGACCTTTTTGATGTGTCGGCGAGAATCTTAATTTAATCAACATCACGTTTGCTCAACTATACATGTTGTATACAAGTTTCAGAGCAATTAAGTTCGATGCCACAAGGCCTGTCTTGTCAAAGTTTTTTTCACCTGTCAGTCTAAACACTAACACTTTATTTCCTGTCAGTGTGTGGTGTGAATTGTCATAAAGCGTGTCACGGACGCCTGACGATCGAATGCCGGAAAAGAACGAAGAGCATCAGTCATGAGACGCCGCCGTCATTACAGTCCAGATCATACAGCTTACCTCTGCCCAGCAATGCACAATCAAACCTGCAGAAGACAGGTACTGTACACACACACACTTATGCACACACACTCACACACACACACACACACACACACACACACACACACACACACACACACACAGACACACCTACACACATACACAGGCACACACACACAGACACAAACAAAAAGCACACACATAAACACACACACACACAAAAACATACATAAAGACCTCCACACACCACCCCACACATACACATAAGGACACACACAAACACACAAAACACACATAAACACATCCACACACCCCTACACACGCATTAAGACACACAGAAACAAACCCACACATGTGCACACATACTAAGATGCACACATAAACACACTAATATACACACACAAAGACACACGCTCAGACACAAATACAAGAATA